TGCACCGAGAAGTAAGCCAGTTTATCCACCTGTCCTCGTACCTGATATAACCGCTTCTCAACGAGTAAAAAAAATAATAGATAAAAAAGGAAAAATAATAAAAAAGGGATAAATGGGGGGGGGGGGGAGAAAACACGAAACAGAAAAAAGATCGAATTAGACACAAACAGATAATAAAAACAACAACAACAACAATAACAATCGACCCGATCACAACAAAACCTAAAAAAACAACACCACCGTCTCCCATCAAATACAACCCCCCAAAAAGAAACGGAAAAATCACAACCGAAATCTCAAACGAACAACAACAGCAGAACAACTGGTGAACGCGAGAAAGGCAAAGCGCTCCCTGGTGAATCGCAAGCAGTTCCCGTGTCACCCGCTGCCTATCGCGCTTGCCCTGCTGACGGAGAGCGGAGGGGTGAGAGGGGGGAGGAGGGGGGAGGGGGGGAAGGGGAGAGGGGGGAGGGGGGGGGGGAGGGGGGAGGAGGGAGGAAGGAGGAGGAGGAGAAGGAGAAGAGGATAGAGAAAGAAGGAGGAGGAGAAGAGGAGAAGAAAGAGAAAGAAGAGAAGAAGAAGAAGAAGAAGAAGGAGAAGGAGAAGAAGAGAGAAAGAGAAGAAGAAGAAAGAAGAAAGAAGGAGGAGGAGAGGAGAAGAGGAGAGGAAGGAGGAGAAGAGGAAAGAGAAATGCTGATGATGATGAAGAGGAGGGGGATGGGAGGAAGGGGAGGAAGAAAAAGGAAAACAAACACAACGAGTAGTAAGCACAAGAACAAGAAAACGAAAAAGGAAAAATGACGAAAATCAAGAAACCAAAAAAGTGAAAACGAGGAAGAAAAAAAACAAAAAAAGGAAAGGAAAACAAAAAAAAGAAAAAGAAAAAAAGACGAAGAATCTGGGAGCAACAATTCTTGCCTCCTCTGATAAACAGCGGTGCAAGGCAGGTCACTGACCCATCAATCGATCATCTTTTGAGTAGTTCATTTATTATCTGACATGTCATTTTTTTACCATGACTGTGGTTATAAGTCAATGATATTATGTGTATGTGTGTGCGCATATGCATATGCATTTGTATATGTACATGCATACGTATATGCATGTATATATAAATTTATACACACACACACACACACACACACACACACACACACACACACACACACACACACACACACACATATATATATATATATATATATATATATATATATATATATATATATTATATATATATATATATATATATATATATATATATATATATATATATATATATATATATATATATATATATATATATATATATATATATACACACACACATGTGTGCATATGTGCATATATATATATAAACATATACATATGTATGTGAAAGAAAGAAAAATAAAGAAATCAATCAATCAATCAATCAAGAAAAAGAAGAGGAGGACGACGAAGAAAAAGAAGAAAAAGAAAACCAAAAACCCCAACACAATCTCAAAACAAAAAACACCAGCGCAGCGCAGTGGATCCCCGACCAACACGTAGCGCAATACAACCGACCCACTCCCCCCTCCCTCCCACCCCCCCCTCCCCTACCCCTCCTCTTCGCACTCAACAAACACCGATATGGAGGCAATAAAAATAACACAGCCAAATGGTAATCTAATGAGAACCAACTGCGGACTCGGGCAGCGTATCACCCACCTTGGCAGAGAGCCTCTCGTGCCACGGACAGGGAAACCCCCCCCCCGCAATCACCTCCCGTTGACAATGAATCTATGGCAATTTCAATTACTTTTCGGGATAATTTGATTTATTTTTTCACTTGCTAACAAATTAATTGAAAAAAAATAAGACGTAACATGAAAGAAAAACAATCTATAAATCTACGAATATTTCTTCTAATAAGGACTAATTGCTTCATTTCTTTACGTTTTAATAAAAAATAAAAGAAACATAGATAAATATTTAAAATACACAAACCTACGGCAATTTCAACGTCTTTTAAGAACGAATTGATTCATTTATTCACGTTCTCCAAAAACATAAATATCAAAATACATAAATGAAAAACAAACTAACTGATCTATTTTCACAAATAAATAAATAATATACAAATAAATACATTCAAATCTACGGTAATTTCAACTTCTTTTAAGGACTAACTGTTCCATTTATTCACATCCTATTAAAAAATAACAATAATAATAAAAAAAGTAAATCTACCGCAGTTTCAACTTCCTTTAAGTACTAACTTTATTCACATCGTATCAAAAAAACAAAGATAAAATAAACAAATATTAAAAAAACGTAAATCTAGCTCAATTTCAACTTCTTTTAAGCACTAACTTCTCCATTCATTCACGTTCTAATGAAAAAATAAATCAACTAGATAAAACTAAAATATAATAATAAATAAAAAATAAATAAATAAATCCACGGCAATTTCACCATCTTTAACCTCTTTCTCAAAAATATTTTTCGAAAACCCTGGCAATTCATATTTGTTATCCTGTCACTCGACACACGTGACCTCGCAGGCAATTGCAACTCCTTTATTCACGTTAAAACAAAGCCATTCCCTGGCATTAACCAATCTCTCTCTCTCTGTCTCTCTATCTCTCTCTCTCTCTCTCTCTCTCTCTCTCTAAAAGAACAAAAATGTTTTCTCTCTCTATATATATATTCTCTATCTCTTTCCCCTCTCTCTCTAAAAAGAAAAAATCTCTCTCCTCTCTCTCTCTCTCTCTCTCTCTCTCTCTCTCTCTCTCTGGCCAATGAATTATTGCTGAGTTGCGTTGCATTTGGCAAAGGCAGTTTTATTTTCAGAGTGGCTGGTCGCGAGGAAGATATTCAGGGCTTATTTACATATTGATGTATCTACTGACGTGTACATGCATCGCTCCATGGGCGTGCGCACGTCTATGTGCGTGTGGTGTGTGTGTGTGTGTTGTGTGTGTGTGTGTGTGTGTGTGTGTGTGTGTGTGTGTGTGTGTGTGTGTGTGTGTGTGTGTGTGTGTGTGTGTGTGTGTGTGTGTGTGTGTGTGTGTGTGTGTGTGTGTGCATGTGCGTGTATGTATGTATGTATGGATGGATGGATGTGTATGTATGTGTATGCATGTGTATGCATGTCTATGTATGTGTATTCATATGTGTGTGTATGTGTGTGTGTGTGTGTATGTGTGTATGTATGTATGTATGTGTATATGTATATATATATATGGATCTTATCCATATATACATATACATAATATATACATGGAACCAAAACCGTATATTTTTCAAACGTTCTTAAATACAAAACAAGTACTTTTTCTCTCCCTCGACCTAACTTAACACTATCCAAGCGGAGAACTCATGACGTCATCGAGGTCGACCCTGACGTCATAAGTACAGTTCCCCGAAGTTATGCAGGAAGGAAAAAAACGGGATATAGGAGGATGAAAGAGAATGGGAGAGGAGAGATGTGATAGAAGGGGAAGATGATAGAAGGAGAAGGGGGAAATTAGGGAAAAAGATAGAAAATTATGAAGGAAATCTTAAATATAAACAGATGTGCGTGCGTGTGTGTGATCCTACTTCCGTACACACACACAAATGTATTCGTATGTCTGGATGTACGTGTTTATATGTATATGCATGTGTATGTGTATGCCTATGTGTTGCGAATGTGTATGTGTGTGTGGTGTGTGTGTGTGTGTGTGTGTGTGTGTGTGTGTGTGTGTGTGTGTGTGTGTGTGTGTGTGTGTGTGTGTGTGTGTTGTGTGTGTGTGTGTGTTGTGTGTGTTGTGGTGTGTGTGGTGTGAGTGAGTGAGTGAGTGAGTGAGTGAGTGAGTGAGTGAGTGAGTGAGTGAAGTGAGTGAGTGTGAGTGTGAGTGTGTGTGTGTGTGAGTGTGAGCGTGTGTGACAATCACTAACACTCTTTCTACCTCAGTCACGAGAGAGGCCGACGGCAACACCCAACCCCTTTCGTCACTGAACTACAATTTCACTCGTCGCGGCGCCTCCTGAGTGACGGGGACTTGAGAGCGATAAATACCGAACAGTCATGCATGCTAAAAGCTTTGTGTCATTTTTCATCATTCTCTTCCTTGTCTATTATTCCGGGAAATTCCATGGGAAAATTTGCGTGTTGATGCCGTAGTGGGTCTGCTTATGCCACAAACGTTTCCATACAGGCACCCCTCCCTGTTCTCTGTCTGTCTTTCTTATTTTCTTTCATCGTTTTCGTTTCTCTCTATTCTCTCTCTTTCTTTCTCTCGTCTCTCATCGTCTCTCTCTTTCTGTCTCGTTCTTTCTCTCTCTTCTTTTTCTCTCTTTCTCCTTTTCTTCTCTCTCTTCTCATTTTCTTTCTCTCGTTCTCCTACTCTCTCTCCTTCCCCTTCCCTTCCCCCTCTCTCTCTCTACTTCTCTCTACTCTATTTCTCTCTCTCCTTATCTACGTATTTCTCCCTCTCCTTCTCCCCTTCCCCCCTGTCCCTCTCAGCGTGCCTACATAAGTGGCCCGCTATCCCTTATCCCTTGGCGATAAGCTCGTTATCTAAACTAAACCAAAAATCACTATGTCATTACCTTGTGGAGGACGCACGCAAGCAGTCCACTTTGCATGCCACCCTCATCTCCTTATTCTAATCTTTCATTTTATTTTTCCTTTATTATTTTCTCTCTTTCTTTCTTTCTTCACTTCTCTCTCTTGATTTCTATCTTTCTTTTTCACATCACACATACATACACACCATATATACAACAT